TATTAAGGGCAGAATTGCGCCACATAGCATTTTGAAAGGCTGCCACACCTTCTTCCCACAGAGCACCCAGTGGGTTCAAACAGCCTCCCTTTCACTTAGCAGCCAACCACTTGAACCACTGTGCCACGGGGGCTTCTGCATATGACCAATAAGAAAATATCATGAGTCAAAGGACTATCACTCCCACACTGCAATTACTCGTTACTCCCCTCAGAGGCCAATTAGTAAGGAACTTATGAGACCCAAAGCAAGAAGGACTTTACATATTTTAAGAGGAGTCCTGGTAGCATAGTTATACACTGGACTGAAAACCCCAAGGTCAGCAGATTGAATCCACTAGCCGCTCTGTGGGGAAAAGACGAGGCTTTCCACTCCCTTAAAGAGTCAGCATCTTGGAAATCCACAGGGTCATTCTACCCTGTCTTGTGAGTTCATATCGATGACAGTGAATTTGAAAAAGCCTGAAATAAAAGTTCTAGGATGCCATTATGGCACACTGGGTTACATACTGGGCTGCTTACCACATGGACAGCAATTCAAATGCACCAGTCTCTCCAAGGGAGAAAGATGAGGCTGCCTGCTCTCATAAAGACTCACAACCTCAAAAACCCAGAAGGGCAGCCTGCTCTGTCCTACAGGGTGTCTGAATCAACTAGATACAGTACATTTGACAGAATTTCTACAGAGCCCTGGCTGGATGCACTCTCAGTTAAACATTAGACTGCTAACCACAAGGTCGGTGGTTCAAACCCACCAGCCGGTGTGTGGTAGAAACACAAGGGTAACTGCTCCTATAAAGACACAGTCTCAGAAATTCCATACAGAGTCGTTATGAATCAGAATTGGCCTGATGACAGTGAGTTTGGGCTTGGTTTATAGAAATGCTACTTCTTTATTTCAAAAAACTTCTTTTCAAGGACTTTTCAAATTTAAGCAGATTTGGAATAGAAAGGGAAAGATTTAAAAGTGTTAGTGAGAACTAACTCAGATTCCTGAATATGTTGTTTTACAGAAATTAAGTGACATAATTACGACACTGGTGAAACAGGTAGAACACTACCAAAAACTGGTTATATAACTTAACTAACAGCAGGTGTTTAAAGTGACGTCAAAGCATGAAGGGAATAACACAGGGCAAACGGGCTCGTTCTTGGGTGCTGGTGGCACACTGGGTTAAGCACTGGACTAATGGAACGGCCCACGACTGGAACCCACCAGCCACGCCAAGAAAAAAGATGAGTCAGTTCTACTCTATCCTTTAGGGTTGCTGAGTCAGATCAAACGACAGCAGCAGATTTCATTGTGATTTTATGACCGATTCCTGCTATGATTACCCAGCCGTCCTGAGCAGACAAGTATCAATTACTCCAATACTGAATGTATTACTTGAAGAGGAAGTCCACAAGATAAGGGAAAGAAGCAGAGACTGGGAAAGGTGCTAAGCCTAACCTGAGCCAACTCAACTACAACTGGAATTGAGCGAGCTGGAGGCCTGAGCTGTGTGCTGTCTCTCCGATTTTCCTGACCTAAAAAAGCCCTCTCCCTACCTTGACTCTTGCCTACAAATAAGGCGATCCAGTACGGCCAAGGAAGCTAACCCTGAACTGACCCAAGTTTGTAAAGATCAATAAGCTGCAAGAAATGTAATCTCCCTATCAAAATATAAAGGTAGTATACATACTGCATAGCAACCAAATCTCTTGAACAGCAGAGTCTGAAACGATGCCCTGCTCTAAGATGCCAGTCTACCAGTGGACCTTGCCTCTTTGAATGTGAGCTGCATTCTGGTCCTGTCAAGAACCCAATCTCCTGCATCAAGCACCTGAAGGGGCTTTCTCTCTCATTCATTCCCAGGCTCCCACCCACAATCCCCCATGCTGATTGCCATTCTACTTCACCCAAATTTGAAACACTCCATTTGTTCCAATTCCACTGACTGAATCGCCTCAAACTGGTTCGAAGCCTAGAAATTAAGTTAGATTAAGAAAAATTTAGCATTTCTGCTGCAAAGTTTAACAATTATTCCTAAAGGAGCATTACACTGGGATACCAACTATCTTGCCAGGAAGCCCTAAAAACGTAATAATTATTCTACCACCAAAAACACAAAAGACTCATTGATTGAAACACTCACTACATTATTTTTAATCCCATTTTCCACAAACTTTTGAAGCCCCCTCAAAGAGCCTGCAATTCACACCAGGCAAACATTATGCCACTTTTATTCAGTTTTCAAAAGCATGTCAATAGAAAGTTTAATCTACCTTACTTACACTAAGGCGTTGGGTTTTTTTCCTTCTGTAAAGCAAGAACTACAGAATAAATGACCTAGAAATCTCCAACGTCTTTCTCACCTTTTGCCTCAGTATTTATCACAATGCATAGCAATCTCTCACTGACTTACCAAATTAAGAAAAAATGTTTTCCCATGCCTTCCCCCTACCCTACTCAGCTTCCCTCTCTCCCAAAATTACCACTGAAAAAGGCTGGCACTGCCATTTAACTATGAAAACTACTGGCCTATTTCAAAATATAGCCTTGCTTGGTTGATTGTTTCCTATTGTTGCTTGTGTGTTTTTTCCTTTTTTAGCCAACCCCACCCCCATGCCCACCCCAATCCTTTCTTGGTAGTAAGAGTACCCCAGTCCTTTAAATTTATATAAGGGAAAAAAACACCAGTTTCAAAATTATTCTTTAAAAAGCAACAATAAAAATACTCTTTTATTTGAAAGAAGCATCCGAAAAGACAGTGCTCATATAATTTAAGTCCTCAAGGGAAAGTAAATTTAGATTTTTGGTTCTATTTTCAGCCTTAAATTTAACTTGTAACAGTTCATTACAGGCTTTCAAAACCTTCCATGAAAAAGGCAGGGAGAAAAGAAAACCGGGGACAAAATAGTCCTTAGAAAACTCAGAACACACAACATATACAGAGATTAAGTCTCAAGCTTTTAAGTCTTTTTGTCTATTAACAGGTAAAATTCTAATTCTTATTACACAGTAATAAGAATCTTGTTTTTCAGATCAATGATTACCAGACACTGATTAAGCTACTTTTTTTTTTGGTAAAATAAAGTATTTTTTAAAATAACTATGGTTATTTTACATGAGTGGTTCATAATCTTTAATTCTTATATATTACTGGGGGAAAACAGAATAAATAAATGCACACTGAAAATATGTTGGTCTCCAAAGTAATTTATGGAGACTTAAGTCCTTAACTTAGGACAACTATACTATACTTTTCATGTGCTATGCACCTATTCGATCAGGGCATTCACTGTGAATCAAAAAGACAGTAACTAGAGGTGTTGGAGTCAACTATTACGTGTGGGAATAGGTTCTTGACTGAGTGTTGACTGAAAGATGCATTTTATTTTTATTATGCTGGATGGAATGTACTTAAAAGTTTTTAGGTACTTTTGATTTAAAACCTATTTTAGAATGAACATACTTATAACAGAAACAAGATTAATAAACTGAGTCCTGCAGATGGCTGATTAGTGGCACTGGTGGCACAATGGGTTAAGCCTTGGGCTGCTAGTGGCAGGCCTGAGACTGGACCCTACCAGCCACTCCACAGGGGGAAAAAAAAAAAGAGGCAGTTCAACTCTGTCCTATAGGGTTGCTGTGAGTCAGAACCGCTCCACAACAGCACGTGTTGATTGTGGTTTTGTGGCTGATTCGTGCTAGCATTACCCAATTTCTTTCCATTTCTACTACCATACTGAGAAGGCAGGATCTTCCAAAGCCAAATACTCATTAATTTACTCATTTCCTTCTATTACCATTTACTGAGCTGGTTCTATATGCCAGGCACTTGTGGCTAGAGGAGGAGGGCATGAGCCAAAAATTAAAAGCCTGTCCTTGAGGACCTCATTCTACATCGGAGCTTAAAATAATAGCTACCAAATCCATTGCCATCAAGTCAATTCCAACTCACAGTAGCCATATAAAGCAAGAGAACGGCTCCAGAGTTCCCAAGGCTGCAGTCTTCGGGGAAAACAGCCTGCCACTTCTTTCTCCCAAGGAGCAGCTGCCCTGCCTGCAGTGAACGGCCCAGCTTCACTCCTGCAGCACCACACTCCTTTTCAGAGAGCTGCAATGCCCATGCAAAGCCGCTTCACACAGGTTATGTAGAGAGTGGTACATGAAACACCCTATTACAAACTGGCTGTCTTACAGGTTCGGGATGTAGGACCTTATTCTAGGTGAAAAGGCATCATAACAAAGCACTGTTATCATTTACAACATTACCAGATCTAGCCCGTTGAAAGGGTATCCTAACAAAGCATTCTTATCGTCGCCCAAACGAAAGAAAGATTACTAGATCTAACAAAGGCTAAGACCTTTGTCATGCAACTGCAAGCTATCCTGACATAAAAAAGGAAGTAATGCTGAACGCCCTTCTTGTACAGATGGAGAACATGAGGTTTAAGACGACTCTAAATTTGTCTAAGACCACCAAGTTAACACCTGAGAACGCCAGGATTTCAAGCCAGGTCTTCTCAATTTCACATTCCACTCCTCCGCACCTGCTTCTCAAACAAAATCTGGATGGGATTTTAAATCAGGTAGACCACACTAGAAAGCTTCCCTATAGGCACTGCCTAACTTTCCAGGTATGCATTTAACTAGGAAGGGTACCCAAGGTGGTGAAGGTGGTGTTTCTACATAAAATCTGCAAACATATCAGCTTGAAAAATTCTGAAACAAAGCTTCTCGAAGTCATAGCAAACCACAATGAAGCTTCTACTATACAAGCATTCAGAGTGCAAACGTAGATATCAGTATCAGTTATCAATGGTAACAACAGCCATCTCTGCCTGTTCTTTTAACCACTCAGGCTCACTTGGCTCCATCTGCATGCCTGTCCACACCATGTAATGTGCACACGCACCTTTATACAGAACTCCAGTAGTCAGGAACTGTGAAGGGGGCAGAGGCTTATTAAGAAAACAATAGGAGGGATCAAACCAAAGCAACAAAAACATATTTACCTGTCTCTTCGTCTATTTTGAAAACACCAACACCAGAGCCATCTGTAATGGAGTATCGGATCTCTCCGTCTCTTCCTCTGTCCTCATCATGGGCCGATACCGTCAGTACTGAGGCCCCAACAGGCACGTCCTCTTGCACTGCACCCTTTTCCACAAAGCTGGAAAACACTGGTGGGTGCAAGTTCTCATTCACATCAATGACTTCCACTTCCACGTAGCAAGTGGAAGACAGAGACACTGGTTTCCCTTTGTCTTTGGCCCTCACAGTGAGATTATACACCTGCTTCTTCTCAAAGTCTAGCTGCTGTGTGATGCGAAGGGCCCCGCTGAGTTTATCAACATCAAAATGCCCTTCTCCGTGGTCCATGAGGCTGTATCTCACTTGACTAGACTGACCCACATCAGGATCATGGGCTTCCAGCCACATAATTACGCTTCCTTCTGGAAGGTCTTCTCGAACTTTCACCTGGTAATTTGATGGGATGAACTTCGGTGGGTTGTCATTAACGTCTTCCAAGGACACTTTCAAAAGAACGGTGGACAGCAACTGGGGCTCTTCTTTAGCATCATCTCTGGCTTCAATCTTTAAATAGTGAGTGTGCTGCACTTCACGGTCCAGAGGACGCACCGTCCTCACAACCCCCGTCACACGATCGATCGAAAACTGGTCTGTGTCTGAAAGAAGAGCGTATGCCACTTGCCCGTTGGGCCCTAGATCTTTGTCTGTGGCTTCCACCTGGATGATTTCACTGTTAGGCTCCTTGTCTTCACTCACTTCGACAAAATAGTTCTCTTGTAAAAACTCCGGAGCGTTATCATTGGCATCCAGAACTGTGATATCCAGAAGACGCCAAGCAGCCTTCTGTGGTATACCAAGATCATACACGGTCACGTTCAAGGTGTATTTATCCGTTGTTTCACGGTCAAGTGGAGAGAAAACTTTCAGCATTCCTGTTTCCATATCAATTATGAAGCAGCTGTCCTCGTTTCCTCCAGAAAGAGCATAGACCAGTTTTCCATTGAAGCCAGTGTCGAGGTCAGTAGCATTCAGGAAAATGATGCTGGCCCCCACGGGAAGGTTTTCCTTTACTTCAATACGGGTTGGAAGGGCACTTCTAAACTGTGGTGCGTGAGCATTGACAGAGTGAGAATCAAAGAGAATATCCTCCCCCTCCTCTTGATGGTGTAATTTATTTGCCTGCAGGAGCTTCTCGGCCAGCATTTTGGCAACACCAGTCTCCTCACATTGCAAGTTTACTGGTTTGCGACTGGCTGCCACCGTCAGGTTGATAAACAGTGGTGTGGCGAAGTTTTCTCCGTCCGTCGCTGCAATTCTCAGGCTGTGAAAAGACATCATGGCCCCCAAGCCATCCATTAGCGACTGCTTTAACGACAGCACCCCAGAGCTGGGGTTCAAGGTGAACAGACCCAGTTCATTTCCGGCTTCAATCTGGTATCGCACCAACTGAAGTTCGTCGGCATCGATAGCAGAAACAGTAGTTATTTGCTCTCCCACACCGAGATCCCTGGGAATTGTTCCCCCGCAATTTACTTTCTCAAACAACGGCGTGTTGTCATTCAAGTTATTCAGGGTGATGGTCGCTGGGGCTTCCACTTCCCGGCGGTACGGCACGCCCCAGTCGGAGGCCCGGATCCGGAGCGTGTAGACTCGTGGCATCAATTCATAGTCCAGGTGTTCTGAAGTACTCACGGCGCCAGTGAAATGGTCCATCACAAATGGCACGTGGTTGACGTTTGTGATGCTGTAAGTCACGTACCCGTTCTCACCCTCGTCAGGGTCCACGGCTCGCACACTCATGACACTGGTACCGACTGGCACATTCTCATCAAAGGACGCCGTGTACGCTGCCTGAGAAAACTCAGGCGGGTTGCTGTTTGCACTGACCACTTTCACCAGGACTCTGGTGGCGGCGCTCCTGTCACTTGTGGTGACTTCCAGTTCGAAATGGGAAGCCTGCTCTCTTTTAACTGGTTCTAAAATGGAAATGAGTCCAGTACTGTGGTTTAAACTGAACTTAACCTTTCCAGGTGTACTTTTAAAAACATACCTCAGGTGAGGATAATTAGGTATGGCTTTGACCATGACCACCGGTGTGTTGGGAGGTGCAAATTCACTGATTTCTACTCGGTAGACAGCTTTTTCAAACTTGACCGGCCCGGCTTTGAAATGTGGTGAAGTCACCTGAATCACTTTCACAGAAGAAAACCGGGGAGGTGTGCCCTTATCTTTAGCCTGAAGCGTCAGGTTGTAGCCAAAGGAATAGCTGTGCCAGTCAATGACACCAACTGCTTTGATTTTGTATTCTTTACTGCCTGGAGACGACCTCACAGTCCGAAACTGCTGAAAGGGGTCACCAGCCACGATGCTCAATGACCCAACCTCCCCATTGGCACCTTGATCACAGTCGTCGACTGTTACAATCGCATATGTTGGGTCTCGCTCCAGTTCGGACGGTGACAAGGTCACTGCTGCTATCACAGGAGCACACTCATTGGCCTGTTCTACATGAACTGTTAGCTTGGCCATGCTGCTGATACCGCTGCTGCCATACAATTTCATTCCACGGTCCACAGCAAGAATTTCCATCTCATGGAGCTTGGTCTCTGCAAAATCTAGTCTCCCGGTTAAAACGACAACACCACTGGTCGGGTGAATAGCAAACATGTCTGTTCGGTCTTTAAAGCTGTAGTAAAATTCCCCATTGGTTCCTATGTCTGCGTCTGTGGCACTGACTCTTGCGATACTGGTCCGTACGGCTGTGTTTTCAGGTAAAGACACACTGTAGGAGGTGGGTGAGAACAATGGTCTCAAGTCATTTGTATCCAGCACTTGCACTCTGACCTTGGTGCGTGCTTCAGCATTAGTATTTTTTTCAACTGCTTTGACTATCAGTGTGTAGTGGTCTTTCACTTCTCTATTAAGAATAGCTGTATTTCCTCCTTTGGTCCTTATTCTTAGAAAGCAAAAGTCTCCAAGGATGTACTCTTCTGCTTTGAACAAGTTTTCACTGTCTCCTGAGATGATTTTGTACCTTAATTCCCACAATGGATTTGTAATGTAAATACCCATCTTGACGGGGTGCCCAACGTAGGTCTTGGCTGCAGAGTTCTCGTGCACACTGACATTGTACTGGAAATGTGTAAACTGAATCGAAGTCTGTTCAAGTCTTTGGCTTCCATCGCTGTCTCCAAAACGCAGGAGGAGGAGCAGCAGAAGCAGAAGCAAGGCCAAATGTCTCCCCATGGCTTCACTCTCGGGACCTGCAACAAGGGGCAGAAATACGAATAATTATCTCAGGGAAATAAATCCAGCCCAAAACAAACAAACAAAAAAGTACCTCTTTTCTAAAAGTTTCTCTTTATAAACCACACAATTTCAAAAAGGATGTCCAATCATAAGGGTTATGAATAAACACAATGGTTTTGAGTTTTCTTTTTCTTTAGTGTTTTCCAATATACATATTGACATCGTTGGGCTACATCTACAATTATACATTTATCAATTGTTTTTCTCATGTGAATTACTCAAAGGTAAGAGATCATAATGAAAGACTTCAATGTAGCATTATAATCTTATACTTAGATCTTCTAGGACAGTGGTTCTCAACCTTCCTAATGCCGCAACCCTTTAACACAGTTCCTCAGGTTGTGGCGATCCCCCAACCATAAAATGATTTTCGTTGCTACTTCATAACTGTAATTTTGCTACTGTTATGAATCGTACTGTAAATATCTAATATGCAGGATGTGAAAGGGTCATTCAACCTCCAGAGGGTTTGAGACCCACAGGTTGAGAACCGCTGTTCTAGGCAAACACAAACAATTTTTAAAAAGGTAGACAGTAAGCATTGTGTACATTTCCTTAGAAAAAAAGAATTAAGTACTCAAAAGCTCACAAGTAATCTGATTTACAGTATCCTGAGCAAATGACGTTTCCAACAACGAATGTAAGGGCAAAGAAAACTTCACCAGTGGCTTTATATGATCTTCCATAAGGATAGCTTGCGATCTCCTTTCAAAAGTTATGCTGAAATTATATTATTTCTTTATAGGGATGATTATGTTTACTCTATATACAGTGTAAGAGTTTATTGTCTCATCTAGCAGGCAGACACAACTATTTATCGGAACTAAAATAATTATATCAAGTTTGATACAGGGGTAATTTCTAAACCAACAACATGAGCCAAAAAAGTCATTTTATAAAATGAAAACCAGAGTTCAGCAGCCTGATGTCAGGTGAAGCACAGTAGCTCTCACCTAACTGAATCAGTGTTTTATCCCCACGGCTGTCAACAACCAATGTACATGGAGTGAATGTTATTCCCAAGGCACTGAACAAGTTGTCGACCGGGAGCATTCCTCCGAGAAAACAAGACAAGCTCACATGCCCTCACTCGTGTAAGTTACACACAAAGCCAGGAGGTGGTAGGCACCACAGGGAAGCCAGAATGGAAAGGAAAAGGCAGTAAGTAGAAAAGCCAGCAAAGCCACTGGCCTTCGGAATGGACAAGGGAACAGAACAACCCGTTGCAAAGCAACCGAAACAAACTTCTGAGAAATTTGTCTTTGTGAATTAACAGCTCCTTCACAAAACTACGCAGCACTGCCGTAGAGGACAGCCAGGTCCCCTTGAAGATTAACATCCTAAGCAATATGAAATGTTACCGGAGGTGAGAGAGAGAGCACACCTAGGGCTGGTCTAACAGCCAGGTGGAAATTAGCATGGCAGCCTTAATTTACAGTGCCTTAACTCAGCTACTGCCAACTCTGCCTCATTAGTCATTACATTAAGGGGGAAAAAAGAAAAGACCTGATATGCATAAAGTAATTAGAAGCTTAATTGATACTGAATCACATTCAATTTGGGCCCTGGAACGTGTTCCTTGGCTGTGATGCCTTCCTGCAGCAGATAGGGCATTAAACAGGGTTTGGGTTCTTCTCACTCGCATTGTCACCAAGTTGATTCTGAACCCTAGCTACCCGATAGGACGGGCAGGCTTGCTCCTCTGCGTGCCCGAGAGACTAACTCTTTCCAAAAAGCTCATCTTTCTTCCCCAGGTGCAGCTGGTGGTTTCTAACTGCTAACCTTAACCTTGCTAATAGCAGCCTACCATAGAACCCCCAAGCCACCAAGGTGCCTCAAGAAAACAAGTCGGGCAAACAAAACATGACAATCTTTTTCTCCTAGATATATGTCTGTTAATTTTTTTTTTCAAATTAATCAACTCTTCTAATACTCAAGGGATGTTAACATTATGAGACACGCCTGTCATTTTACCAAAACAAATGAAAAGTTCAATTCAATTCAGACTTTTTGGGGTGGGTGAGGTGGGGTAGGGGGAAGAACCAAGAAACTCTTGGTGGAGGTGTCAAGTAAGTACTGCACTGGCTGCTAATTGAAAAGTCAGCAGTTCAAAGCCACCAGCCAGACCACAGAACAATGAGGCTTTCCTCTCCTATAAAGAACTATAGCCTTGGAAACGCTTTGGAGGGTTGCTGTGAGTCAGAACTGACTGAAGAGGCCTTGGGTAATCTGGTTTGGGCACTGAGAACCTGGTGTGGGACAGAACCAATAGGAGCACAGTTAAAAGATTAAAAAATATTTTTTAAAAGATCCTAATGCTGAGGTATTAACAAACTAGGTATAAAAATATATATACAGAAAATATAATAAAAGATTTCTTCAAACAGAAATGAAATTATAGAAAATGCTAAAGAAAACATGTTAAAGAAACATTGTCTCTATCATCTAATTCCATTTTAATTATCCAAGACAGTAACTATTTTCCACATTGCAACCAATGTTATACTGACATGCTATTGCAAGTGCCTTCAATAGCTGCTTAATTCTGTATACACAATATAATATAGCCACTAAGAAAAATAAAGGTAGCACTTTATATGTGGATATGTGACCATGTGCAGGCATGGTTCACCTGGAAAAATGGAGTGATCTAATTTGTTAAAAAAGGGGGGGGGTGATAAATTGTGTGTGCCTGGGCATAATACATGGATATGGTTAAATATGAACAGAAAAACTAGACAGATTTTTAAAAACACTTGACAACAGAACTTTTGGAGAACAGGCGAAAAGCAGTAAGTAGGTGAAATCAGTGCTTTCCTACAAGGCTGATTTGCCCTCAGTACCAGGTATTGTCACTATCATTTATTCAATGATACCATTAACTAACAAATATTTAATGCGCAGGTGGTAGGGGTCCAGAAGTGAACAAACAAGTCCTCATCCGGGACACACTTCTTAGTGGGAGACAAGACAAGCACACAAAGAATGTAGAAGATGCTGCTGCCTGAATGCGAAGGTCAAAAATAAAGCCTGGCAGGCAAAACTGGGAAGGAATGGTCACAAATCTGGGGGGGAAACAAAGGGGAAGTGTGAGGGGGCTTTAAGAGTTCAGAGACGAATTCCATTATATTTTTATTTCATTTTTCCAAGAGCTGTTTGAAGCCCCCTCATCTCGCAGGGTGTTTCGCATTACTCCTGCCGTCAACGCATCATGTTCCCAGACCTCAGTTCCGACAGCCAGTGCCTCCCAATAGTGCCAAACGTTCTTGGGGTTCGGGATTTCCTGGAGTAGTACAACACTGGTTGAGAGAAGTGGCAAGAGGCCATTGTGGTCTGGGCACAATGGGTTAAGAAAGAGCAATTATAGGAGAGACAACAAAGGGCCATCTTTTAAATAAACTCTGTGTCAGATGTACCCAAATGTTGCGAGGATAATTTCCCTTATTGTTAAAATTTCACAGCAGTATGGCATATTTGTCATAAGTAATGCATCATTAATTAAAGCCCATGGATTTTTTTTTTTTAACTTTGAAGTCCGGTATCTGTCCTAGAATCTCATCCAAGATCCATCTCATTTGTTTCTCGTGCTTCGTAAGGCTCCTCTAGACTGCGGTAGTTTCTTAAACTTCCTGTTTTCAATGACTTCTCAGTGTTCAGCCCACTGGTCCTCAATTTGAGTTGGTTGGATGTTTTCCCATCATTACATCGGGATTACATGTTTTTCGGGAGGAAAAGCACAAGACGAAGTGGCATTTTCACCACTTGGGACGGCATTTACCTACAATCCACCTGACTTATCATTGTTGATGGTGGCCTGGGTAGCATGGTATCTGTGAGGTTTCCGCATTGTCATGTCACCTCCAACCCCTTTTCTATACTACACTGTTTGGAAGGAAAGCATGTTTAAGAAATCAGGAAATAAGCACCTACTCTTTGAAAAAGCAGTACCTACAGACATGAGTGAGAATTACAAATTGGGCTAGTTGGAAACCTTGGGAGAATAAGAATTTTCTACTGCTGTAACGTTATAGCCTCAGACACCCACAGGTGGCAGTTCTACTCTGCCGTATAGGGTCGCTATGAATCAGAACTAGATGTGTCCTGTCATTCTACCTATCCACTCATGTACTGATACCAGCATGGTCTCATGGAGCGAGGGGTTTTCTTGGATTTAAGGATTTTACCACCACTGAGAAACTAAAGCTACGGTTCTCAACCTGTGGGTCGCGACCTCTGGGGGGGAGGGGGGGTGTCGAATGACCCTTTCCCAGGGTTCGGCCAATTCATAAAGCAGCAAAATTAAATTATGAAGTAACAACAAAAATAATTTTATGGTTGGGGGGGATCACCACAACATGAGGAACTGTATCAAAGGGTCATGGCCTCAGGAAGGTTGAGAACCCCTGAACCAGAGTATTTTGAGCATTGGTATTACGTGTTCAGACTTAGCCTGGCATTTGTGTGGAGAGCTGAATATAGGTCAAAGGGTGAAAACAAAGCGCGAGACCTGTTAGGAGACTGTGGCACGGATGTAGATAGCAGGTCAGGATGGCTTCAGCCACCCTGGTACTGATGGCGAGAAGTGGTCAGATTCTGGACCGATAGCTCAGGATTTGCTGATGAACTGAAGGGGAAGAAGAGAAAGAGAAATACCAAGAAGACGCCAAGAAGTGTGGTCTGAGCTGCTATGATGAAATTACCATGCATGGAGTGGAGGCTGAAGGGCCTAACAGACTTTAAGGCACAAGTTTAGGAGTTCCGTTTTGAATACCACGGTTGGAGTGCTGAGTGGGCAGAGGAGGTGTGCTGGAGGTCCAGCCTGCAGGTGTGAAGCTGAGATGTCAGACTATGGAAGATTAGACTTAAAGCCAAAAAAGTCCTAGGAATGAAATCAGCAACAGAAAAAGCACAGACAAGCGAAAGACAAAGACAGAGCCCAGTTGTCTGTCCAAAG